CTATTAGTTAAGTTCTCCCCAAGCGAGCTCGATGGGCCGAATGGCCTCCTCTCGTTTGTATAGTTCTTATGTTCTTATGTTCTTATGTCCTGAGAAAGTGCCGGGCGATGCGTGATCTATCCCATGGCTGAGCTCCCATGGCCAATTTTGCCCGAGTAATGCTGCCTGCAGTTTCAATTGGAAAGTTTCTATAATCAATGTACCCCCTAGGGATGGGGGTAAGCGTTCTACACACACTGACCAGCTAGGTGCAGTTCCCAAAATAATTAGACGAGTATCCTTGAGCAATGCTTTCCCTTCCCATGAAGATAAGGCAGGTGTCTCATACACTGACCAATGGTGTACAGAACATATTGAGCAACGCCTTTCCCTGTCCTCAGCAAGCCCCTCCAAAACCCAGGGGAATATGGTAAGCGTCCTTGAATAGGGTAAGCTTCCCAGAACAAGGATTCTTTCACATAAGAACAAGGATACTTCTTTCATGAGAAACAAGTCATTTGTGAAAAACAAGTTATTTAAGTGATCAGAGAGGGAAAAAAAACATGCTTTTACAGTCTAACCTTAATGCAATAATATTATAGGTGAATCATGGACGACGTATCTGAATCTCAGGAAGATCAGTCCATACACGATCAGAATCAATCCACACCTCTATCACCTCATATATATGACAGTAACAGCAGGATAATGATTAATTCTAGGCAACGTAGTCGTCCGAAAATTCGTCCTAATACAGTATGTCATTGGTACAGGGTCAGGTAACGCGTGAGATGGTGACCACAGCATGTCCAAGTGCATTCATGTTGTTCTCATGCTTACATATAGTACGTACAACATTAACTGTCGAGTAGTAGGCTTCTAACAATATTTAGTATGTACTGTGCGATATCTGATTTGGGAAACACCCAAGCACTTAATATACTATATACTATATACTATACTATAGTGACAAAAATCATGATTGGGAATTACATTAGAGTATAAAGACAAATCACTAACAGATGGGCAAAGCCTTGGATCTGGACATTAATTGGAGTAGGTATGTTGACAGGGATAATGTTTACAATGTGCTGCTTAAGTGCTAAAATGCTAAAATGATATACCCTGTGAATCTGTGACATTCTGTTCTGTCTCAAGCAGGTCTTGATGGCCTCCTTAAACCTGATTGCTTTGTGAATGCTGGGTGAGAAGGAGCTGAGGAACCTGATTTTCACCATGTGCCGTCCCCTTATGTTTGACATTTACACAGAACTGTTGGCATTATGTAACTTGGCAGGGGCTACAATCTTACATGAGTCTAGCAGAGCACTGGCATTCTTAAGTGATATTAAACCATAATGGGAAGAAAAGGGATCTTAATTAAATAATGATCTTCTTAACAGGGATGTAACTGCACTGTTCATAAATACACTATATGGCCAAATGTATACTATATGGGCAAAAGTTTTGGGACATACCTCTTAATCATTGAACTCAGGTGTTTTTCATTCTTATCCATTGCCACAGGTGTATACAATGAAGCACATGCAGTCAGGTTTACAGACATCTGTGAAAGAATGAGTTATTCTGAAGAGCTCAGTGAATTCAAGCATTGTACTCTCATAGGATTGCCACCTTTGCAATAAGGCAGTTCATGCAATTTCTTTCCTGCTAGATATTCCATGATCAACTGTAAGTGGTACTGTTGTGAAGTGGAAACATTTTGGAACAACAGAAACAGAGCCACAAAGTATCAGACCACGTAAAGTAACAGAGTGGGGTTGCCAAATGCTGAGGTGCGTAATGGTCATCAGTGTTGTGTTAAGTCAGTGACTGCAGAGTTCCAAACTTCCTCTGACTTTAACTCGAGTACAAAAACTAGCTTCATGGAATGAGCTTTCATGGCGAGTGGCTGCATGCAAGCCTCAGCATTTCACAGGCAGAAAGACACACGCTTTGTAAACATAACTACAGTGGGCTTTACAGGACATAATATAGCTGAGCTTGCACCTTTGCATTGTATTTGAATAACGATGGGCTTCTCGATAAAGGCCTGATATGACCTTAAATAAAACACGTCACCTTAGCTCTGCACTATAAACGCCTCAGCAGGACGCAGTGCTGAAGAAGCCCAGGTGAGAACTTCAGAAATTTACAGTAAATGTTTCAATGTGAAAGCTACCTATACTTACTTCATTAATTAGTTTAAACATTTTAGTGTAAAAAAAACAACTTCAAAACAATGCTTCTTGAAAATCATATCCTGAAATCCTCGTACAGACTATATGATAGGTATTTCAATGGCTATCATTGTAGTCAGCTATTCCTGTGGCCACAGGTTCTGTGTAATGACACAGTGATTTTCAAAGACATGGCAGTCGAAGTACCAGACAGTTGATATCCTCTCAATTTGAAATCTGTTTCTGCCCAGTGAATGTTATCAATACAAGCAGTGCAATCTGTTTGCTAGGCAATAATATGATAACAACAATTCAAACATGCTTCCCCACTTTATAAGTATTTTTACACTCAGATACACTGAACCTGTATGAGAAATGGTGAATGTAAATGAATACATTATAGATTTGTTCCTTACACAGGAGAAGCCATGGATTTGATCATCTGGATGAAGAGATCCAGTCCTCTCCCGCTGCCCCTTCTTCTGCTATCATTATTGGGCAGCATTCATGCCGATCTCCCCTATCCTCCTACTGCCACCCCGCTGTTTGAGGGATACCCTTATGGTGTCATATGGAACATGCCAACTCCTGTTTGCAAGCAGAACAACATCCCCCTGGACACCTCGCCATTTCAGGTCGTTACCACCCCTGAAGCTGTTACTGACCAGTTCCTCTTCCTGTTCTACACCAACCGCCTGGGGTTGTACCCATTTGTGGATGAAGCCACCAATAAGGAGATAAATGGAGGCATCCCACAGAAGGGCAACCTGACGGCCAGCTTAGATATAGCCCAGTGGGACGTCGCCCACTATATGCCTTCAGAAACCTCCCCTGGTCTGGCTGTCATTGACTGGGAGGCCTGGCGCCCCCTGTGGGACAGAAACTGGAACTCTAAGACTATCTACCGCACGCTGTCTATTGACTATGCCCGTCAACTTGACCCCTCACTTTCCCCATCTCAAGCTGAGCCTGTGGCCAAGGAGCAGTTCCAGACAGCTGCTAGAAAATTCATGGAGGACACAATGAGTCTAGGGATTGATATGAGGCCCAATTACCTCTGGGGCTTCTATCTCTTCCCTGAATGTTACAATGATGTCTGGGAAGAGGCTGACTACACAGGTATGTGCCCAACATGGGCGCAGGCAGAGAACGACCAGCTCCTGTGGCTGTGGCAGACAAGCACGGCCCTCTACCCATCCGTCTACCTGCAGACTAGTCTGGCCAACACCCACAAGGCCGCTCTGTACGTCCGCAACCAAGTTCATGAGGCCATGAGGGTGGCCAGCCTGCCTAAGCACCCCTTCAATGTTCCCATCTACGTCTACACCCGTCCTGTCTTTACCAATCAAGCTAACAAATTCTTGAGTTTGGTGAGTACATAACGTCCTGGATCATCTTATAAACTGGATATGATTAAGCTCCCGTGTGCTGCTTTTCCTCTCCTTGGATTGCCACCTTATCATGGTGGAGGGGTTTGCGTGCCTCAGTGACCTTGGGGGCTAGGTTGTCGGGGGCGATTGCCCCTGGTAGGGTCTCCTAAGGCAAAAAGGTCCCAGGTGAGGGGCCAGACGAAGAGCAATCCAAAAAACCCCTGATGAAAGAATATTATAGCAAGGTCTCGTTACCCTCGCCTGGACTAGGGTCACCGGGGCCCCACCCTGGAGCCAGGCCTGGGGGAGGGGCCTGCTGGAGAGTGCCTGGTGGCCGGGCTTTGGCCTGTGGGGCCCGACCGGGCACAGCCCGAAAGAGTCACACGGGACCGTCCCCAGGTGGGTCCACCACCCGCAAGGGGAATGTCAGGGGTTCGGTGCTATGTGGATTGGGTGGCAGCCAAGGGAGGCCCTGGCGGACTGATCCGCGGCTGACAAAACTGGCTTTTGGGACATGGAACGTCACCTCTCTGGTGGGGAAGGAGCCTGAGCTTGTGTGTGAGGTTGAGAGATGCCGGCTAGATATAGTCAGGCTCACCTCAATACATAGCGTGGTCTCTGGAACTAATCTCCTGGAGAGGGGCTGGAGTGGTGGGTGAGCGTCGCTGGGCTGTGGTGGGGCTACTGGTGGCCCTACAGTTTGGTGCATTAACATTGGAGTTTACCCCAGTGAACGAGAGGGCTGGGTCGGGGAGAGGTCTCTGACTGTCATCTGCGCCTATGCACCGTATTACAGTTCAGAGTACCCAGCCTTCCATCATTTTGCTGGGGGACTTCAACGCTCACAACACCGACAGTGTGGCCTGGAGAGGGGTGATTGGGAGGAATGGACTCCCCGATCTGAACCCGAGTGGTGTTCTGTTGTTGGACACATGGTTTGTCCGTAACGAACACCATGTTCAAGCATAAGGTGTCTATAAGTAGATATGGTACGAACAATGATCGTTCAATGACCGATTTTATAATCATATCAGTTGATCTGTGGCCTTCTGTCTTGGACACTCAGGTGAAGAGAGGGGCAGAGCTGTCAACTGATCACCATCTGGTAGTGAGCTGGTCAGGTGGCAGGGGAGGCAGGCCCAAGCGCATAGTGAGGGTCTGCTGGGAACGTCTGGAAGAGGCTCTGGTTCACCAGAAATTCAACTCACACTTCTGGGAGAACTGCATATCGGGGGAGGTTGGGGACATTGAGTCTGAATGGACATTGTTCTGAACCTCCATTGTGGAAGCGGCCATACGGAGCTGTGGTTGCAGGGTGGTCAGTGCCAATTGTGGCAGTAACCCCCGTACTCGACGGTGGACACCAAAGGCTGTCAAGCTGAAGAAGGAGGCCTGGGGGTCTTCGGAAGCAGCTGACAGGAACGGGCAAGCCAGGCGGAATATAGCTCAGCTTTGTAGAAGGAAAAACCCAGGCATGGGAGTTTAGTGAGGCCAAGGAAAGTGCTTTCGGTCGGCTTCAAAAAGGTTCTGGCAAACCGTCCGGAATATGAGTAAGGGGAAGCAACTCCTGGTTCTTACTATTTACAGTGGGAAGGGGGTGCTGTTGACCTCACCTGGGCACATCACCCGGAGGTGGAAGGAATACTTTGAGGACCTCCTCAACCCTGCCTCAGATACATCTACGTGCACTGCTTGTGAGACATCTAAGGGCACGGGGCCCGAGGGGGCTGGGGTGGACTTGCCTATCACTGAGGTTGCCAAGGTGGTTAAAAAGCTCCTTGGCGGCTGGGCCCCAGGAAAGCATGAGATTCGTTCGGAGTACCTGAAGGCTCTGGATGTTGTGGGGATGTCATGGTTGACACACCAGAGAGTGTGTTCCAACTACAGGGGGATCACACTTCTCAGCCTTCCTGGGAAAGTCTGTTCCAGGGTACTGTAGAGGAGGGTGAGATCAATAGTTGAATCTCGGATTCAGGAGGAACAATCATCCTGGCCATGGAACACTGGGCCAGCTTTATACCCTTGTGAGGGTACTGGATGCAGCCTGCGAGTTTGATCTTCCAGTCTACATGTTTTTTGTGGACTTGGAGAAGGCTTACGACCGGGTTCCCCGAGGTGCTCTGTGGGGGGTGCTTCAGGGGTATGGGGTTCCGGGTCCGCTACTGCGGGCGATTCGGTCTCTGTATGAACGGAGCAGAAGCTTAGTCCGCATTGCCAGTAATAATTCGGACGTGTTCCCAGTGCGTGTTGGACTCTGCCAGGGCTGCCCTTTGTCACCGGTCCTGTTTACAATATTTATGTTGCAACTTTTTGCGGATGACATGGTCCTGTTCGCTTCATCTGCTGGGGACCTCCAGCATGCTCTGGGGCAGTTCACAGCCGAGTGCGAAGTGGCGGGGATGAGGATTAGCAGCTCCAAATCTGAGACCACGGTTCTCACCCGGAAATGGGTGGATTGACCTCTTTTGATCAGGGAGGAGGTACTGCCTCAAGTGAAGGAGTTTAAGTATCTCGGGGTCTCGTTCACACGGGAGGGTAGAAGAGATCGAGAGCTGGACAGACGATCGGAGTGGTGTCTGCAGTTTTGCTGGTGCTTAACCGGTTCATCACGGCCAAAAAAGAACTGAGCCTGAAAGCAAAGCTCTCGATCTATTGGTCCATCATCGTTCCTACCCTCACCTATAGTCATGAGCTGTGGGTAGTGACTGAAAGAATGAGATCATGGATACAGGCGGCTGAAATGAGGTTTCTTCGCAGGGTGTCTGGGCTCTCCCTTAAAGATAGGGTGAGAAAGGTGGTTTGGACACCTGGTGCGGATGCCTCCTGGGCGGCTACCTAGAGAGATTTCCCATGCATGTCCTACAGGGAGGAGGCCCCGGGGCAGACCCAGGACGTGCTGGATGGATTATATCTTTCAGCTGGCCTGGGAACGCCTCGCCATCCCCCCTGAAGAGCTGGTAGAGGCGACTGGGGAGAGGGAGGTCTGGGTATCAAGGCACGGGTACCAGAGGCTTTGTCTTACTCCCTTGTGTGTGTCACTATCTCTAGGAGGACCTGGTCCACACTCTGGGTGAGAATGCGGCTGTAGGGGCCTCAGGTTCAGTGCTCTGGGGGGGCACTACGGACTTTGATGACAAGGTATATTCCCATGCATCACATGTCATCTGCATGTCTGCGGCAGGGACACACTAAATGATTAAGGTTAAAAAAATGACTGCTATATTCACAATGTCTATGACATTTTCAATTCCGTCACTGCTACGAAATGAGAAATCTGAAGTAAAACAGTAATGAAAATGAAGCATCTATGCTGTAAGAGTGCTTACATGTGCCATAGAATGAAAATCTGACTTTACATCAACATAGCATAGTTCGGTACATGGAAATGACATACCATGAATCTCAAACATTGTCATTCACTCTTTCAAATATAATTCCCGAACATGTAAAAGAATAAAGTAAAACGGGCAGTTTAGAAATTCCTAGACTGTTACGTAAGTCTTAACCACACCCCCAAACTTAGTATATGCCATGCCACTCTCAAGGTCAATGGACAAGCCTTGTTCAACAGTTGTGCATTTATCGTTAAGAACGAAACAAAGGACAACAGTGAAAATGTCAGGCTGTATCTATAAGTGTGCCGTTTGAGGCTATGATGAGGATGTCGGCACTTACCCTTCCCAAGGAATCAAACTGTCATCAGGCATGGCTGATGTGCATCTTTAATAGGTCAGGGATACAAAAGCTCCTCTTAGCAACTTACATGGTTGGAACCGTTCACTTGCATGGTTCTAACTATGTAAGTTGCTAATGTTGCTAGCAGCTATGGGTTTGGGAAAATGTTCCTCAGCTTATTAGGGGAATAGTAAACAACATTACGAAGTCTATGATACTGACATTGACAAGACGCGTCTGTACTTCCCGTAGCCTACTTTTGATTAGCTAAACAAATATCTAACCGATAGTGCAGTAAAAAAAATAATGAAAGCAGAACTGCAAATTTACAAGCTGCTTATCTTGCTGTTTAGAGTACTTGATGAAACAAAGCTAGCACTGTAAAATCATTTGCTGTGTCAAATGAAAAAAAAACTATATTCTTGTTACAATGCTGAAAACAAAGTTATGATTATGCTAACATTCTACCAAGGCTGAAGCGGGACTATTACTGTCATGCCCCGATCGTCCGCTCCTCTTGTGTGCCACGCCCCCTCGTTAACCGCATGTGGATTCCCCGTGTTTACCAGCTGTTCCTAATTGTTGTCATTAGTTCATTGTATTTAGTCCGCGTTTCCGTTTGTTTCCCCAGTCCGGTCATTGTATTGTCAGCCTGTATTGTTGCGTGCTCTGTCGTTAATTAAACCCCGTGTTCCAGATCCCTGGATTCCTGCCCATTTGTCTGCGTTCCGGGCGCGTGCGTCATGACAATTACAGTAACAAAGGGTAAATTGTTCCAGGAGACATTAAATGGCAAAACCTGCCACTCAGTGTTCATTTGCTGTCTCCGGGCAACTGGCTGTTCATCGGCATCTGATTCCTCCTCTAATATAGGCTCAAATATATACGGTTGCATGCCTACAGTAAATGCTCCATGTTTCATCTCACCTGTACCAATGTTGAGTCTGTGTGAACCATCGCAGTGCCTCACTGTAAACCAGCCAATCAGAGCAGAGCTCTTCTATTAATGAGCCCACCAAATAAGGTAAACTGCCTGTTTTATTATAGGGCCAGGGATATTTGCGGGTGGCGTGTAGCTCAGTGGGCTAAGCCTGTGTGCTTACAATCACAAGGTTGCCAGTTTAAACCCAGCCTCAACATGTCTGCAGGTACTTAAGCAAGCCACTGATCCCCCAACTCCCTGGGCGCTGCCATGAGTGGCTGCCCTTCGCGGACAACTTGCTTACAAAGAGCAAGTTAAGGGAGGTGTAAAAAAGACAATTTCCCCACAGGGATTAATAAAGTGATGATTATTATTGATTATGTACATGGGCATGTAAAACAACTTCACATACTGTACCAACAAACCAAGTTCACATACCCTCTTTGTAGACACCAGAGAACAGGGAGCTGCATGTGGCCTTATCAGCTAAGGTTCTGTGCCTGTGACTGAAAGGTCACCAGTTCAGGCCTGGCCATAGTACATCTGTATGTCCTTGAGCAAGGCCATTAACCCCCAGCTCCCTGGGTGCTGTTGTGGCTGGCTGCCCTTCACAGCCAGGTTGCAGCCAGGTAAGTTGGAGGAGGCATAAAGAGAATTTCCCCGTAGGGAATAATATAGTATTATTTGGAAGAAAAGCATTCTATGGCACCTTTAAGTCCTCCTTCATATCTGAGATCTTTTCTTCACACTCAGTCACAGATCCCTTGTCTATGTCACACAAGAACGTTCCATCCTTGTAGGCGTCATGTGAGGCCTTATCCTCCTACCTGAACTCCACCCTGAACCCCTACATCGCCAATGTGACGGCAGCTTCCAGGCTCTGCAGCGAGTCACTCTGCCAGGGTAACGGGCGCTGCATCCGGAAGGACTACAACTCTGACGTCTACCTGCACCTGAATCCTGCCAGCTTCTCTGTCCAAAAATCCAACGGGAAGTACGTGGCGGTGGGCATTCCCACCCTCTCTGACCTCACCTACTTCTCCGATCACTTCACCTGCCAGTGCTACACTGGGCTGAGCTGCTCGCCCCGGATAGCGAGCGAGCTCCCCATCGAACCCGTGGCCATTCCTGTGTAACATGGCCCTTCAGTATGCTGTATGCTCACTGATTCATTTCTGATTCATCTTGCTGATTCATTTGCTGTTTTCTGATGCATTTATTTCACCTTTGCAAATAAAGTTCATTCAGTGCCACTTTCACTTCCAACATCATCATTCAGCATCAAAGAATTTCAAAATCTTTAGCCTGGAGGACCAATGTTCAATAATGCTCATTAAAATCATTCATCTGGTTTAACGCTGCTGAGTAAGTTTGTTTTATATGTCAGCTGGAAGATCCATTAAACCATTTTCTTCAATATTTGTAAAGACAGATCTCTGTCTCTCTCTCTCTGTCTCTCTCTCTCTCGATCACCTTGAATCTCTTGACCAGCCTTTGACTAACTGTGGTTATACTTAAGAGAGAAAGCTGTTGGCCACTCATTTGGATTCTCGTTGAATAATTGCTATGCAACTCGTTTAATCAACAACCGCACAGCCCCCCTCCCTAGATCTCCTGTGCTCATGTTCTACACAATAATTCCACAGGTGCACATCTTCTTTTGCACACCAGTTTTGCTGTGCAAGAACCATTCTCTCTCAGGGTGACCCACCACAAATGTAGCATCGACAGCCATTGTGAAGCATAATAGCAACTTCAAAACCTGAGAACTGCAAGACATGCAAAGCAGTGTGAGAAACTGTGTTTCCAGTAGCAACTCCAAGGTATAATGGGCAGATCTTCCACTAGATTTTGAAAAGCATAATTAGCATCATGATTAAATGGAGATGTTATCAAGAGTGTTACAGTTGCAAGAAAAATTGGGTGCAGCTGTCTTCGTCATCTGGTGTGATCTTAATTTCAAATTTCATTTCCTCTAGCACGAGTTTCTGAACTTTCTATACACACTCTGCCATAGCCAAGGGTTTGTGATGAATTCAGAAGTCATCAGAGAATTGCTGATCAATTTTTGCATAATTCTTCATTCACTAAGAAGACTGGATTTCAGACTGCAGGAAGGCAGTCAAATCTGTAGGGATCCCCATGCGTCGCATTACCTGCACCTGAGCAGTGAGAGTTACTGCATCGATCCTACCGGTGATGGGAGGTTCGCTGTCTCGGAGCGGTTCTGCTGTCACTTTTACCAAGATAATTTTCTGTCACATGGTATACAGTTACTTATGTTGAATAAATGAATGAATAAATGAATGAATGTTACATTTATATGTACATTTTATCATTTTACAATCTATATATCTATTGCATATATTTATGCAAATATTTTTCAACAAAAGTTACATACCATGACATACCATGAATCTCAAACATTGTCAGTTTTCCCAAACCACCCTTTAAAGTATACGTATAGTAACTTTATGGTTTACTCTCATTTTACAATCTACACATGATATTTGTCTCTACAAATATTTTTCAACAAAAGTTACAAAGCGCTAAGCTAAAGTTTGGTAAACCTCAGGCAAATGGTGCGATTCACTGTTCACAGAAAAACAAAAATAAAGTATCAAAGTGTCAATGGTTTCCGGAAGTTGACGTTACTCGTGAGCAGTGGAGCATGTAGGGATGTGCAAATCATTTCATTTTTTAAGTAAACGTGTGCACAAGCCTTACAAACGCCGTGTGATGATACTGTCATAGAGTAGCTGCCATACATTGAATATTTATGTATTTTCCTTCATTTGGTACTCCACTGTAACTTGCAGTACTGGGTCATACGAGTTGCAGCGCTAAACCCAGACCAACCACCAGGACAGGTGCCCAAAAAGAGGACGTATCAGGAGAAACCCAGATTCATGGTAACCCCATCCAGGGATCATTCATGACCTCCAAAAGTCGGGACCTCACATCTCACCTGAACGGTGGCACCAGTGTCCCCATTACGGCACTGGGACCCACACAGACGACAGGATGGGCTAACCTGTCATCCACACCAACACCTCCACCAGCAGCAACCCAGCTTTCTTAGTTAGTCTCCCATCCAAGTTCTGGCCTAAAGCTACGTAGCTGCAGATGGATTACCAAGTTTGAACAGAAGGTGGGTATGGCTGCTTTGTATAGTATTACGTTAATCTAGTATAATACCTGTCATGACCTGCCTGTACGATCCTCTTGTGTGACACGCTCCCTTATTAACCACGTGTGTAACCTCTATTATGACCAGCTGTTTTCTGTCAGTTTGATTCGTCTAGTGAATTTAAGTCCACGTCAGAAGTCTGTCATTGAAGTGTGTCCCATGTTATTCCTCGAACCTATAATAAAACCCCATTTTTGGATTCCTGTTTCCTGTACCTGATTCCCAGCTCCCTGCACGTGCACCTGGATGTTACAATACCACCCTTTGTATGTTAGGCTTTGTATATTGTAACAGTAATGTAGTATAATAGCACTTATTAGGGGTGTGGTCTAGTGATGTTGTGGATGACACTTGTTGTGTTACCATTGGCTGTCCAGCAGGAGTGTGTCTTCTTATAAATCTGGAAATGCACATTGTCAATAGTACACTGAAGGCATTACACCGAAACGCTTCTGTGTGGAGACATTGAGTAATAAAACTGTATTAGGCAAAGTGCAACCTCTTCTTATACTACTTGAGTTATTCTTTTTACGGTCCAGCACTCTGATACAAGTAAAATCATTAGGAGTGAAGCCCGTTCTTCTATATTTTACTTATACAGGAGCAGCCATGGATTTGATCATCTGGATGAAGGGATCCAGTCCTCTCCTGCTGCCCCTTCTTCTGCTATCATTATTGGGCAGCATTCATGCCGATCTCCCCTATCCTCCTACTGCCACCCCACTGTTTGAGGGATACCCTTACGGTGTCATATGGAACATGCCAACTCCTGTTTGCAAGCAGAACAACATCCCCCTGGACACCCAAGGTTATAATAGTTTTGGATTTTTCATTATAGTTTAGTTTTATTTAGTTTTGACCTTTTTCCCTCTAATTTAGTTAGTTTTAATTAGTTTTTAGAGCAGGTTTGCTAGTTTTAGTTAGTTTTAATTTTTTCTAAATGCTTAGTTTTAGTTTAGTTTTTATTAGTTTTAGTATTAGTTTTCATTTTTTCATACTTTGGGTTATTTGTCAGGTACAGGATTCAAAAAGATCAGTATGTATTGTGTAATGAAACTCAACAAAGGAAACCATTTCAAAAAATGTATTCAGTTACTTTTGAACAACCAACCATCCACAACAACCAACAGTCTACAAGATAGCAGCTTAAGTGCAAAATGTGTGTGATACTGCTTCTGATGTTGGATACAGGTAGTGTGCCTGGTACAAATCAAAATAGCCCATAGACTAAAGACACACATGAACATAAGAATATAAACCCATTCACGAGGCACACGTCACATTTCTTGACAGCCAGGAGTCTCAGAGAGCTCAATCTGAGAAAAACATTAACAAACTCAAAAACCATTGCACAACAGAATTGTCTCAGCATGGAAACCCAGACTTCCCTCTCTCCGGCCACTTCCTCCAGCTCCTCTGGGGGAATCCCGTGGCGTTCCCAGGCCAGCCGAGAGACATAGTCTCTCCAGCGTGTCCTGGGTCTTCCCTGGGGGCTTGATGCTGATATGCTTTGCTTTTCAATGTTAACCATACGTCCAATATTGTAAACAAAAAGGAAATGAAGTCTTGTGGTGTTCCTGCGTATTTACTAACCAGCAGCTGTTTGGTCGTCGGTGAAAGCAGTCCATTATGGTTGTCTCCTCCTTCCCGGTGCTACCTGGCCGGGATGTTGCTTCTCTTTCGGGGAAGCTAATCAGAGAGGCTACTTGGTCAAGGTACTGTACTCGCGATTAGCCGTCTTACGCGAGCTTCTCAAGTGGACTTTCAGATTTGTGGGGGTTTTTCCCTTGAGAAGTATCCCACATATTTTGTCACCTGTTTCTACAATGCACCTGCTCTTATCTGTCTCGCTGTCATAGTCAAAGAAATTCCAGATAGGACTCTGCCGCCTTCTCCCAACTTTTTGTCGTCGCTATTTTTCCAGGTAACGCGGTGAGCAAAAGCCGACTGTAAACAAGAAGTGACGGACAGAGAGGTGACGTACGGTGCAGCCAGCTCACGTAAAACTGCTAGAGCGAAATAAATCGACTTATAAATCAATTGACAAAGACGAAAAAGAAGGACATTTCATCTATAATTTCAGTACGTTTTAGTTAGTTTTGTCAACGCACAATACAGTTATAGTTAGTTATCATTTTTTCTTTTAATTGTCGTTTTTATTTATTTCAGTTAACGAAAATGTTTTTTCAATTCTAGTTTTCGTTATTTCGTTCGTTTTCGTTGACGATAATAACCTTGTGGACACCTCGCCATTCCAGGTCGTTACCACCCCTGAAGCTGTTCCTGACCAGTTCCTCTTCCTGTTCTACACCAACCGCCTGGGGTTGTACCCATTTGTGGATGAGGCCACCAATAAAGAGATCAATGGAGGCATCCCACAGAAGGGCAACCTGACGGCCAGCTTAGATATAGCCCAGTGGGATGTCGCCCACTATATGCCTTCAGAAACCTCCCTTGGTCTGGCTGTTATAGTTCACTAGGCAATAATTTTATAACAGCAATTCAAACATACTTGCCCAGTATTTTTACACTCAGACACACTGAACCTGTATAACAAAAGATGACCGTATATGATATGTTTTTTATAAGTGTTACACAGGAGCAGGTAACAAAAGAAGAGGTTGCATTTTGCATAATACAGTTTTATTACTCAATGGCTCCACAGAGATCCATTTTGGCATAATGCCTTTTTCAGTGTGCTATTGACAATGTGCATTTCTAATTTTATAAGAAGACACACTCCTGTTGGACAGCCAATGGTAACACAACACGTGTCATACAGGGCATCACCAGACCACACCCCTAATAAGTGCCACTATACTATTTCACCATAATTGTAGGCCTATACAAAACATAACATAAGTAACATAAGTGTACAATGTGACATACAAAAAAATTATATCACAAAAAACAGGTAAGGGAGAAGTCTCCATTCATGCTTTTTGGCGCAACTGTATTTAGGGCGAAAATATACCCAGCCACCCTTTTAAGAAGGTAGTCCTCTCGATCTCCACCTCTGGGGGTTCTGGTCGATTATCTTTATACCCATAAATTGCAAAGAATTACTGTCATGGCCGGGTGTATTAAAAAGTCTGCTGATGACTCATTTCTATTCATAATGGCACATTTATGCTTGCAGATTCTGGTTTTGAATTATCGTTTTATTTTTAATAATAATAATAATAATTGATACTTTATTGTCCCCGTGGGGAAATTGTCTTTACGCCTCCCTCAACTTTCTCTATTTTTGTAGAGTAAGTTGTCCGCGAAGGGCAGCCACCCATAGCGGCACCCAGGGAGCTGGGGGTTAAGGGCCTTGCTCAAGGACCCACAGACGTACTGAGGCTGGGTTTGGACCAGCGACCATATGATTAGAGGCACACAGTAAGTACACAACAAATGTTGATAAACATGTGACTCTTACCTTAAAAGATTTATTTTTATAGGAATATGTAAAATATTTTTCCGAGAGAGACCCTGGAAGACTGGAAATATGGCCATAAGTAGAAACGGATGTCATGGAGGTATCTGAGCTGTGTGACTATGCTACGCGGTTCATCAATTAGCAGCGCTGAAGGTTACCTACTCGATGTAAACAGTCCTGAATGAATACATTACCATAACCCCTGCTCGGGAATCTCTGACACATTTCTCCAGCCTGCTTCTCAAACACCTCACCCCTGTCATAAATGGGTCCTTAGGAGATGGGTATATGGTAAACAGGATTTAAAGGTGTTTGATGAACGCTACAAAAATCCAGGAAAGCATTTCTGTGCAACACCTCCGCCAGCAGCAACCCAGCTTTCTTAGTTGGTCTCCCATCCAAGTTCTGGCCTGGCCTAAAGCTACGTAGCTGCAGATGGATTACCAAGTTTGAACAGAAGGTGGGTATGGCCACTTTGCATAGTATTACGTTAATCTAGTATAATACCACCCTTTGTATGTTAGGCTTTGTATATTGTTACAGTAAT